CTAAACCCTAAACCCCCTAAAAAAGCTCAAAGAAAATAAAGCCTCGGGGCATTGAGTCGGGTCAGGAGAGCACCTCGCGTCTTTGCTGGATCTTAACTTGTAGTGATTATTTAGGGTTTGGGCCTATAGGTTTAGGGTTTGGGTTTAGGGGGTTAGGGTATAGGGTTTGGGGCCTAGGGTTTAGCATCTAGATATCGACTTCAGGTTTAGGGTTCAGGGCCTAGGATCTAGATTCTGATTTAGGGCTGCAGGTGGAGTTCTTATTCTGATTTAGGGCTGCAGGTGGAGTTCTCAATTAAGGCATTGGGGTTTTGGGTTTAGGGCTTGACATCTAGATTGCGATTTAGGGCTGCAGGTTCAGGGCATCAGTGCTTCTGAGGCTTCTGGTGCAGGATTTATGGTGTAGAGCTTGCGGCGCAAGGGTCCAGAGTTCATCATTGCCGGGTTTTGGCTCTAGGCAGGTGAATGTTCAGTGTTTGATTCAGGTGGAGGGTGTTCGGGCCCTTGTCTTAAGTTTTCAGAAAGTTTGAGGTTTTCCAGTTTAGGGTATACTCATTGCTATGCTTTTAAAGCTCCGGGAGGGAGCTAGTCGTGTTTTTCGCCAAGTCACTGCGCCGAGTGCCAGGTAAGTGTCCAATAGGTCTTTGGTTTTGTAGTTAGCAGTGTACGGCACTCCTCCGCTTTGATGAAGTGTACTTGGAGCTGTGTCTGCAAGCAGGCATTTGCTTGAGTATTGTTTAATCGTGAAACGATGAAAGTGGCTGCCCTAGCAACGAAACCCTAAACCCTAAACCCGAAACCCTAAACCCTAAACCCTAAACCCTAAACCCGAAACCCTAAACCCTAAACCCTAAACCCGAAACCCTAATCCCTACACCCTAAACGTTTTTCGGACTCTGCTGAACCCACGAGACTCCACAGCCAGCTCAGAAACCACAGCGGAGATTTCTCATAAGGCCGTCCCCTCCGTGCCAAAGTCAGGCTCGGACTCTTCAACCTGCAATGACCCTAAACCCTAAACCCTAAACCCTAAACCCTAAACCCCTAAACCCTAAACCCCTAAACCCTAAACCCCCCCAGAATCCTACTCCAGTACATAAGGTGCGTAGCAGGATCCCCGAAACCCCCGCCCGTGAATCTCGGATGGAGACTCCATGGCTTGGTTTAGGGTTTAGGGTTTAGGGTTTAGGGTTTAGGGTTTAGGGTTTAGGGTTTAGGGTTTAGGGTTTAGGCGGGTACTTCGGTCCTGAAATGTTATGTAAGCCTATGAGGGGGCTCTTGAGAGAACTACTCGTCGCTGCCCCAGGATGATTTGGAAAGAGACACGGACCGAGCGCCAGAAGATCTGATGCTCGCCGGAATGGATTTTCTGGCTTTGGGTTTAGGGATTTAGGGTTTGGGGGGTTGGGGGTTCAGGGTCCTTAGGGTAAAGGGTCTAAAGTTTACGGTTTGGGGTTTAGGGTTGAGGTGTTGGGGCTTCTTTTGGATTGCAGCCAAAAAACACAGGGGTTCTCGTTGCTGGGGTTGGAGTCTCCGTAAACTCTAAACTCTAAACCATGAGCCCATCGCCTATAAATCCTACGCCCTGGATCTTAAACCCTAAGCCCTACACCCGAAACCCTAAACCCTCAGACTCAATCCCTAAACTCCCCCTAAACCCTAAACGCCTAAACCCTAGACCCCTAAACCCTAAACCCTAAACCCCTAAACCCTAGACCCCAAACCCTAACCCCTAAAACCTATTCCCCCTGGCTTGCTGCCAGCCCTGGTTCTCACTTCGAAGCTTTGTGGAGGGGTCTCGGTTTGAGGGTTGAGGGTTTTGGGGTTCAGGGTTTAGGGATTAGGGTTATGGGTTCAGGGATTAGGGTTCAGGGATCAGGGATTAGGGTTTGGGGTTCAGGGTTTGGGGATTAGGGTTTTGGGTTCAGGGATTAGGGTTTAGGGCTTAGGGCTCAGGGTTTGCCCGAAGACAGAAAGGTTTCAAACCAGGGAGTCTCCACCCGGACAGCAAAGGAAAAGTCAGCGCTAGGTGTAGGGTTTAGGGGTCTAGGGGTTTAGTGTTCAGGATTTAGGGGGTTCCGGGGCTTTAGGGGGTTTAGGGTTTAGGGCTTGGGGGTTTAGGGTGTAGGGGGTTGGGGTTTAGGGTGTAGGGGTGCCCTTCTTCTGCTATGCCTTGTGACGACCTTAGCCCACACCATTTTCCACCCCTAACCCTCTGCCAAGCTACGGTCGATGATATAGATCCTGCATTACCCCTAGTACGGAATATACCATAATTCCCATANNTTTAGGGTCCTGAGGGTAATGCAGGAGTTAGTATCATCAGCAGTATTACCTACAGTAACTCCTAAGCCTCAAAGCCAGAACCCTGGATGACGAAGCAAGCAGCCTTCTTTGAGCCCTAAACCCTAAACCCTACACCCCTAAACCCTAAACCCTAAACAGGGCTTGAGAGGTTTCTGGCTTCATTCCTCCTAGACGACCAGACCTG